GGGAGACCGTGATAGCGGAACACGCCATCGACGAACAACCTTGCGGTTTGTTCGCCCGTCACAGTGACGGGAACTGGAGCAAGATGTACCATCTTGCTCAGCCGACACACGAACACCAAAATTCCGGTGTTGCCGTGTCCGTCGGCGGGAAGCCTAAAGATGAAGTCAAGACTCATCGACTTCCAACAATCAGCCGGTACGGGCAGGCTCTGTAGTGGAGCCGAAGAGTGCCCTGCGGGTTTAACCCGCTGACATGTTTCACATGTCTTGACGTACCGGGCGACCCACTTGTACATGTGGGTCCACCAGAAGGACTGAGAGACCGACAGAAAGGTCTTCTCGCGGCCCAAGTGGCCGCTGGAGGGCGCGTCATGCGCCTCCGCGAGGATGTCGAACTTCAGATCCTCGTCGTTGGGTACGACCACCCGTGGAGGATCAGTGGGCTCCACCCGATAATAGAGGAGGCCCTCCTTCAACTCATATCGGTGGAGCCGTGAGCGCTGTCGCGACGAGAGCCAGTCGGACTCCGCGCTCGTTCCGGCCTTAAGGAACTTGACGATAGGCGCGACAGCCTCATCGTCCCGATACGCCATGCGTATCCGATCATATAGATCCGTTGTCACCCGTGTGATGTGGGCCAACTCATAGTCGGGACGCCTAGAGAGGGCGTCCGCAAGCACGTTGAGCTTGCCCGGCTTGTACTCGACGCGGAAGTTATATTCCGCGAAGAAGGACAGCCACCTCGCCATCCGTTGGGAGAGGTGAGGCGAGTTAGTCGCCGTCCTCAAGGACGCGTGGTCTGTGTAGATCACAAAGGGCGTAGAGCCCAGAAGGTGAACACGGAACTTCACAAGGGCATATTTCATTGCCAGGAGCTCCTTGTCATGGACAGGGTAGTTCCGCTCGGCGGCTTTGAGCTGCCTGGACTGGAATGAGATGACTCGTTCCTGTCCAGCCGTGTCGTCCTGCAGCAATGCACACCCGATGGCGTAATCGGAGGCATCGCAGACGACGCTAAACGGCTTCGTCTCGTCCGGCAGAGCCAGGACAGGGGCCTCTTGGAGACTGGCCTTGATGCTGTCAAAAGCATCCTGGTGCTCTTGCTCCCAGCGCCAGTCGACGTCCTTCTGAAGGAGGCTCGACAAGGGCTTAGCGAAGCCCGCGTACCCAGCGCTGTACTTGTGAAGGTAGTTGGCCAAACCCAACCACTTTCGAAGATCCTTCTGGGATCGGGGCGTCGGCCATGCTGCTATGGCCTTGACCTTGTCTGGGTCAGCCCGAACGCCCACGTTGCTTACGAAGCAACCGAGAACTTTGATCTCTGGTGACGCGAAAACGCACTTGTCGATGTTGGCGTAGAGCTTGTTCGCTCGCATCACGTCCAACACTCGACGGAGGTGTCCTAGATGCACCTCCATGGCCGTTTTGCCTCCCTCGGCACGGCTATGGACGAAAATGTCGTCGAAGTACGTCTGTACGAAGGTACGCAAAGGGCGGAACAATCGCGTCACCAGGCGATTGAACGTCGCCGGGGCGTTAGACAAGCCCTGCGGCATGACGAGCCACTCCCAAAGCATGCCGCTTGGAGTGCTTACCGCGGTGAGCGGGATGTCACTCTCTCGCATCAGGATTTGGTAGTATCCGTCTACCAAATCCAGCGCACTGTACAGTACGCTCCCGGCCATGTTGTTCAACAACACATCCTTTCGTGGGATCGGTGTTTGGGCCGGCACCGTTGCGTTGTTCAGCTTGTTATAAGCGTGAACCAGACGCCACTTTCCGTTCGGCTTACGAACGCAGAAAGTCGGCGTCGAGTGCGGGGATTTCGACTCCCGCACCATGCCTGCCTTCGCTTTCGCGGCGAAGAAGGCATCAATGACCTCGCACTGTTCGCGCGGGAGAGGCCATTGCCTCGTGACACAATACTTTGTGCCGGGCACGAGATCAATCTCGTGCCGTACGCCTCGATCCGGTGGGAGTTGGGTCGGTGGGTGTTTATTCACCACGTCCGCATACTCCGTCACCAAAGGATACACCGGATCCTTGGGGTTCTTGAGAATCTCAGAACCCAAGCGCGCCTGACGCTGCTTGTTCATGTCTTCCAGGACGTTCTCGTCCAAGACAGAGAAGGAGTTCAGCTCCTCCTGAGTGGTCTCAGGTCTCATGAGTACCATCTCAGCGATCTCTCCAGCCTTGAGGTTGGCCAGGAAAGACTCAGCCGTCATTTCCTCGAGGTTCAGTATCTCTGCAACCTCTGGCAACGGTTCCAAGTGGACACCAGATGCCTTGACGGGTAAACCCGTCTCGCTATCGAAGATGTGATAACACTCTTCCACCGGCCTTGTCGGAGGAGCCCGGGCCCTGGACTCCGGGTAGCTTGAAGCGACGTCGATCGGAACGAAGTTCGGATCCGACTTGAGGCGGCGGCGGCGTCTTTGCCGACGGCTTCTGTGACGGGGAGCTTTGCTGCCCACGTCTAGGGATGTCGTCGCTACGACATCCGAGGCACTCGTGGCCTCGTGTGGTACTGTTGTACCCACACAGGAAGCGTGTTCCACGCCTTCCTCTTCAGTTAAGGTCTGGGCGACCGCGTGTGGCACTGTGTTACCCACACAGGAAGCGTATCCGACGTCTTCCTCTTCAGTTATGGTCTGGGCGACCGCGTGTGGCACTGTGTTACTCACACAGGAAGCGTATCCGACGTCTTCCTCTTCAGTTATGGTCTGGGCGACCGTGAGTGGAACTCTGTTACCCACTCTGAACACGCTGTTCTCAGTGTTCATGACAGCTGCAGCTGTCTGCGGAACTAAGTTACCCGCCTGTGGACCTAAGTTACCCACTTGGCCGGCGCGTCTTCTGGGCGCGGCCACCATCAAACATCCTCGGAGTCGTCATATACGTCGACGACTCCCAAGCATCTGCCGGATGCTTTGGTACCCTGGCAGCCCTTGCGGGCGCCCCGGGTCCTGACAGAGGTGGGAACATGACTCACCAATGTTCTGTCGGACTGCGCAGGGCGGCTGGCACCGATTGCCTTGCCTCGCCAGTCGATCCAGGGCTCGTGCTTCTCAAGCCAGGGCATGCCCAGGATCATGTCATATGGATCCATATCGAGAACAGTGAACTGTTCGAGGCTGTCAAAGTCTTCAAACTTGACAGCCAGATCCACTTGGACGTTGGGGACAGTGACGACCTTCCCGTCGGCCAGTCGCACTGACACCGTCCCGTTGCCCTTGCTTTCTCGCAAAGCTTCGGACAACTTGTTGCTGTTACGAGCAACCGTCTGGCGGCGTGCGAAATTCTTCGACGCCCCAGAGTCAATCAAGATTCTAAAGGGGTGATCGTATCCCCGTACACATCCGTGTACTACGAGCAACCCGCCGCTGCTCTTCGCCGATTCGAGAGTGCGAAGACTCTCAGGGGCTAAGTCCCCGTGGTACGCGCCACCCGCGCACCCATCACGAAGACTTAGTTCTTCCCCAGTAGGGCGCCCCGCCCCTACTGGTTCCCTGCGTTCCCCTGTCCCCGGGATCCTGGCTTCTGCCAGCGACCCTTGAGGACGGGCTTGGGGAAGGACCGTCTGCGGAGTCTTTCCGCGGGGCAGTCGCGCTTGAAGTGGCCCATCTTCCCACAGCCGAAGCAGCGGATGTCACGCTGTTCGGCGGACCCGAGCTCCATGGGAACAGGTCCGCTGGGGCTTGTTCGACCGGGAGTCGACAAGGAACTCCCAGGCCACGCTGAGGCCGGCGTACGCGCCTGGCGATGGCTGTACTCTTCTTGAAGAGCCACTTGAATCGCCTCTTCAAGGGTGCTTGCCTGCACCCGGAACAGCTGAGTGCGTGCGGGGCCCACTCGAAGGCCGTCCATGAACACAGTCATCTTGATGTGTTCATTGAGTGGGTTTCCCACTAGGGACGCCGTGAGCTCCCGTATCTCTTGCACATACTCGTGCAGTTCGCGTCTTCCTTGTTTACACGCGAGGAAGCGCGAACGCTGGCGGTACTCGTAGTTCGCCGGGAGGAACGCGGCTCGGAGCTGTTCGCACAGCTGAGCCCAGGATGTGAAACATCCAGGGGATGTCGCTTCCCGAGTGTACACCCAACTCTTAGCACGACCGCTAAGGTTGAGAGTGCAAAAGC